TCTTTAAAAAAAAAAAAAAACTAATCAAGTCCATAAAGACACAAAATCACATTTAACAGCTACTCGAGCAGTTTTTACTTGTTTTGAAATAAATTATACTCACAAATGAACGTGTGCACAAGGGGTATGATCGCGTGCAGATGCATGCGAATCCTATCTTAGACCCAGAGCAGAAACTCCAAACATAAGAAACGTGGCTGTGGCCCAGAGAAATCACACAGGGACTGCTGCAAACATGACTCATCTCTAGAAATTTATGTTGCTATAAAGTGAGAGACTGTTACAGCAAAGGTGACGTGGAATGATTTCCCATTTCCCCCCAAATCTCAGCACATCTTTGGTACTTACTAATGCCTTTCTCTTTAGGAGCAATCTTCTCTATGTCTTTTAATTGAAATACATCTTTCTGTTAGAAAAGGGTAAAAAAAAAAAAGGTATAAAAAATAAAAAACTTGTACTTACTTTTTACTATGTATGTATGTATAGTTACCATAATTAAAATCTTAAAACATACTAAAAAAGCTATGCCTAAAATGAATAGGTCAGGTATACAGACCTAGAGAAATACCACAATTAATCTTGTTCAATACCCGCAACAGAACTTAAATGGATAGGTTTTGCACAAACATATTACTCTTTTAGTAGTAAGTGGAGAGAATATCTTTCCACTGAAGAAACTCATTTATGGACTCAATTATTAGGATGAGAGAATTCATTTCTCTGACACTGATTTCAAGAAAACACAAATAGTGCTTTGATATAGATTGTATGTCACAGATGGAATGGTTCTAACTAAGTCTAAGAAAAGACAACTGTCGAGACTTGCTTATGGTCAACATTTCACAGAAGAGTTAAACCTCAACATGGAAAATTTATTGTTTATCTCTGTGCATCAATTGTTCATCTATTTGTTACATGTCCACCAATTGCAAGTCTACACATTATGGGGAGAAACTTGAGTAGAACTTTGCACCTTCATTATTGGGGGAAAAATCTGGGCAGAATACTCCTTTCTTTTTGTAGTAAGTCTTGGTTGAAGTGGAGAGAAGAACTTGGATAACAAAAGTGAAATATATGAAAATACACAAGTATTCAGTAATTTGAACAGAATTATTGTGATTGTTATAGAAATCTGGAATCTATTTCTCTTAAAATAAACTTGAAAAGGCAACTTCAATAGGATGGAAATTCACAAAAATTAAAACCTTCTGCTCATCCATGTCCCTGCTAAGAAACTGAAAGACAAATACTGACTAAAAGACAGTACTCACAATACATACCTGACACGGACAGGTACCCAGGAATATAAAGAACTCCTCTGACATATATCCTACTCCTCCCCCCATAGATGAACCGAGAGAACGAAGGTGTGTGTGTGTTTCTTCTCATTTATATATATGAGAATATAAATGAACATATACAATGAGTATATGCTGAAGTAGAATCTAGGTGTTGGGCATATGAACACTCACTATAAAATTCTTTCAGCTTTCATAATAAAATGTTGGAAAAGCAACTATATCACTAAACTTAAGACTTAGTAAATTAAGTACTAAGTCAATAACCGTAGAGTGTGAAAACAATTTTTCACATGTGGGAATACACTTAAAAGTCTCAGAGACTCTTAGGGGGTCTCAGAGACTGCAATAAATTAATGACTTTAGAAAAACCAACCAATGAGACCTATTTGCAAGTAATTTAGATTCGCTGGAAAAAGAACATGAACACAGAGACATCTTCCTAGCGTGGCCACCAAAGGAGTCCCAACACCGTGGCTGCCCAGCGGGTTTAAGTGTAAACAAATGAGTCAGCAAAGAACAAACTTCATAACTCAATTAAGATCACTTAAGTGGACAGAGAAAATAGCGTCCAGTAAATATCAGCTATTCAGGCATTACACAGCAATAACAAAGGACATATAAACACAATGGATATAGCTCTTGAACAAGAAGCAAGCTAAGTGTAAGGCCCCGGAAGACACACAGTCACACTACACTACTGGACAACTTCAATTAGGCTCTTATGACCTGGACACTATGATGTTTTAAACAGATCACCTCATTTAATCCTCACACCAATACTGTGAACTGGGTATAATCATTAGAACAGAAATAGATTAGAAAACTGACGCTTAGGTCAGTGACTTGTTTCAGGTTACAAGCTAATAGGTAAAACTGGTCAGGTACACTATCACTGAGCTCTGCTGCTCGCATGTTCCTCCTAGTGTAAAAGGCAAAGAATCCTATTTCTATTATGTCAGCAAATGGAAATGTATATTAAGTATACAATGAATCAATACATAAACTGAAATCAATAACTAATTAACACAACCAACTCCTGGCTTTACAAAATAATAAGACAAACTACTGAACTTCTCAAAACTGCTAATACACATTAGCGTCTTAATGTTATTTTCCTAAACAGAGTTGAAAAATTTTCCATCAGAAGCAGCCAATTTTGATATTTCAGACAGTTAACAACCAAAAACACAGAATAACCCCCACCACTCTCTCCATTGTCTGATAGAAATCAGATCTATTTTTCTCGTTCTTGAAAATAGGAAAAAGATGTCAACAAGTAGAATAAACAGTAACCACACACACAAACTTCATTTCACCTTCCTCATCTTGTCATCATCACCACTACAATACTCTGCTGACTTGTCGATTGACTACTAGTCAGTCTAAGTGAGATTAGGGAGATTAGGCACATGCAGAGGGCAAACAGTTAAAAAGTTCCTAGAAATTTCACTTGTTTTACTTAAAATCTGTACTATCAAAATGAAAATCAAGTATTACCATTATTTAGCTCATCAGTTTCCTAGTCTATTTTGCCATTTTCCCCATCTTCTTCACAATTGTAGATAGTGAAAATAGCCAGTAGATTGGGGCGAAACTGGACTTTGAAGGTTCTGTGTAATATACAGGAAGTGAGTACTTTCTGTAGGTCGAAGGTTTGGACTTTAACTAAGAAGCAAAGAAAAGCCACTGAACAGCAACCTGGTATAGAAACAGGCTTGAGAGCCAGGAGCTGGGCCTTAATCCTGGCTCTGCCACTTAGGGGCCGAAGCTTGAACTTATTAGTTCAAATTAGTGACGGGCACAAATTTCTGGAATAAATTAAAGAGGCCTCTGCACCACCAAATATGTGTTATGCGCAGACGGAGACCGTCCTTAGACAGAGAGGCAGGGTTAGAGCCCTCAAGGCAGGAGTGGTCCTCTCCGGGGCTGAAGCCTCCTGCCGTCACTTCTGTTTTGTAAGATCCAGAACTGATTCCTTAGGCTGCATCCACAGATGGGGCGATCCTGAGCTCATCAGTAATAAGGACACAATCAGACAGCCTACACCAAGTGTCCAGAACAGTGACTGGCACCTGAGAATGGTAACCTGAGCCATTATTATTATTATTATTATTATTATTATTATTATGAGAATGGTAACCTGAGCCATTATTATTATTATTATTATGCTTGATTGCTGCCCCTTCTGCCTGCAATCAGAATATGCTGAGACAATCGAGCATATGCTCAGACAGCGGGTGCGTCGGGCAGTCTGAATGAGGACACCCCACCAACAAGTGGCAGGTTCTTTCATGCACCATAGCTCATAGGCATCACAAATGTTTGCAGAATTTTATCCATTCTCACAACTGGTCAGTATTGCTCGCTCATAAAAAAAGGTGGTTAACTTGGGGTGACATGTATCTAAGGAGAAAATCATACAACATACTAAAAATCTTAGGAAAATGACTTACAGTTTCGAAAAATATTTCCATCATACGGACTCTCTTCTCCTCTGCACTCAGTCCTTTTTTCTTTGACTAAAGCACAAAAGTTAAATGGTAAACACTGCATGTTTAACACAAGACACTTCCATTATAAAGCAAACTGGTCTGAAACATTATCAGAAATTCTGTGGATGGCTTTGTCTGATAACAACATTTGACAACTCTGAGCGTCAGGCCAGAAGCCCCACTGTACCTACCCTACCATGCCATGCCAAGCCCAGGATGGCATTTACAAATACAGTAAGGACGGTAGGTGAGATGGAGTCTTGGTATTTTGTAGAAATTCAGTTTATCAAATGAGTTCAAGGTAAGTCACTTTACTTACCTTCAAGACTTAGTCTCCCAAAGAAAGTACATCGGCATAACTACTTATAAATAAAAAGGTACATGTACAGACAGAACACAAAGAATTAATTCCACCCTGAGGAAGAAGGCAGTGATCTAGGCTAGAGATGAAAAGGATTTTAGGAAGTTGAGAAATGGTGAGAAGGGAGTCCTGGGCAGACCATACACCCGGCACAATGTCATGGAAGTACATGGAATGTTCCAGAGATAAGCCTTCTGAGATGATTAGAGTATGCAGATGAGTTATGGGAGACAAGGCGGAGGAGGTGGAGGTGTGATTTCTAAAGCAGGGAGTGACAAGACTAGAGCTCACGTGGGGGTGGGCGAGAGAAAGGGAAAAGCCCTGGCATGGGAAAAGGAAACCCACCTTTACTCTGTTGGAAACGGGGGTCACTAACACGTAATTGAAACGTACGTTAGTAAGGATTTTTACTATATAATGGACAGAGAAAATGTATTATTTTTAAAATAAAGAGCTACACTTCTCCACTGTAAAGATTCACAGAAAAACAAAAAACACCTGTTCGACTCACTGACACAAGTCAATTGAGACCAAGCCACATGCTCCATTGGAGGAGCAAATAAAGTGACATGTCATTTGGAGAACTTTCTGGAAAAAAAAAAGTTGCTCAGGGCATTGAGTAATAAAAAACACTCATACCACTTAAAAGTAGACATAAATAAAACAATTAGAGATGACCCTATCCAGCCGAAAACTCCGCCAGGACCTGAGCCGAGGACACGGAGAAGGCACGGGGCTCTTTCCTGGCCCGGCTGGACGGAGGACGCTGCTGGCATCCTAGCTGTGCCTTAGCATCACCGCAGGGTTCAAAAGAAATTACTGATGTCCAGGTAGGTCCCTCAGTACCCTAGTCAACAGTCTCTGGGAGGGACTTTCGCCTGGTGTATTTAAAAATTCTCCTCAAGGATTTTAATTCGTGCCCAGGATTGCTTTTTTCAGCCCAGAATCTGGAGGCTGAGTCAGAAGTGCTGTGCAGGTCAGGCCGTGGGAATGGTTAGGACTTTTGGCTATGGCTGTCAGACCCAAAGCTTTAGGTAGGAAAGACTACTGTTGGTATAATGAACAGCTTCTAAGAGAGATCCACAGTCTCCAAGAGGCAAGCAGTTAAGAATAGTGTGTGTGTGCACAGAGGGCACAGTTGTAGGAAAGCCATAAGTCACTCGGTTTAGCTATGGCATTGAAAAAATACCATGGGCTGCAGCGTCCTCTTAGACTGCTCTTTTATCACAGGATTTATTATTAACCACAGTAGGAGAATATTATGGGCAGAAATAAAATCATTGTGAAAAGATGCTGTGTTAATTCATATTTAGAAATTTGTCCAAAAAAAAAAAAAAGTCAGGGAGGGCTCATTTACTGTTTAAGACTGAGAAAACTTTGTATAAGGTTAGAAATATATTCAAGCTGTTTGGGGACTCAAAACTCGATCTGAGGACAAGGGACTTTTCTGGTTGGTCAATATATTTTAACCTACTTAAAAATCATCTACCTAATTCCCATCTTTAATTGGGAGTTACAGAATTCCTAACATCAGTCCTGTTAATTACAATAGATTTTTGAAAGAGTAAAAGTAGGTGCCATCTGCTATCCTGGGAAGTAGCAGATTTCAATTCAGTTTCTCCAATTCCAGAAAAGCTAACTGGATTGTGTCATTCTACACACCCAACCAAAACAAACGAGAAAGAGAACAGTTCATCTTCGGTTAACATGAACACTAAGCTGATTTCTCAATCCTACATAAAAAACAGGAAGTACTGTTGTCATACAAACTTTTATTATTTCACCTTTTTTCATTATTATAGGGAAACAGATGAAGAGCTAATAGCACATTAAGCCACTTAGTATTTGAAGGCGATTCAGGCGTGGAAAGAACAGGCAAAAAAGACAAAGTAAAAGCATTTGCGTTGCAGAATTCTCACTAAAGTCAGATTAGCTGAAGAAAAATAACCCCAGAGCCAGTAAACAGATGCTAACAGATTGAAGTGTGGTCCTGTTTGGCTTCTTTAAATCCTTTACGCCCAGATGGCTCGGTTGTTAGTTAAACCACAAAAAGCCGTTATCAGCGATAATTATATCTGGACAAGTAGCTTCAAATAAATACTGAACAGCCCAGATCGTTGTCCAGCAGAAGCTGGGCAAAATAACGGCCATTAGCTAAATGAAGATATTAAAATCTTAGATGCATTTAATTGACGTCGATTCTCTGCCAAGAGCAGACACAAAAACGGCGTGAAACTTTCGACGGTTTACAAAGATTTGACAAGCAAGAAAACGTTGGGTTCACAGAGAGATGGTGCGGCGTCCCAGACAAGCCCTTCTGGCGTGCAGGGAGGACGCAGGGTCCCCACCCTGGGGCGCCACGGGTGCCCCGACGCCTGCAGATCCTGCTCCCCGGTCAAGCCCAGCGCCTCAAAACTGGCACCGCGGGCGGGGGCGGCCTCGTTAGGCCGCTAGTGGAAGGGGAGCAGTTCAGAATGTGCTCCACGAGTCAGCGTCACCAAACCTCTGGCGGGGAGCACTCAGCTCCTGGGGCCTCCGGGTCCCGGCGCAGCCCGCGCGGGGTTTCAAATGCCGGGGTGCACCCCGTGGCCGAACCCCGGGGCTCCGGGCTCCGCTTCCACCCCGACGCGCGTTCTAAACCATCCGGGCGCGTTCGCGAACACTTCGCGGCTGCCTCACGCCCGGAGGGGGGCCCCCGATCATTCCCCAGGGACAGTAGTGGGGTGCAGCAGGGGGAGGGGCCGCAGCGCCGCGGGGCTGAGCCCCGGAAGTGCGGCGCGCACAGCGCGACCATTCAGTGGGCCCCCAGTCTCTGCGGCCGGCCAGACCCGGGGCTGAGGGCGCCTCGACCCTAACACTGGGGAGCACGAGGAGCCGGCCGGACCCCAGCTCTTACCATGGCGCGGGCCGCGGGTCTTCCGGTGGCCGGGTCGGCGCGCGAGGCGAGGGGCGGGGCTCCGGGCTGGTTTGATTTTGGCGCCGACACCGCCCCGGGGCGGAGCAGCGAGGGGAGGAGGTGGAGAGAGACCGACCCTAGTCTCCACGGCGCGCAGCGACCCCTGGCGGCGGCGCCGAGCAAGCGGCCGGCCGGGGCGGGGCCTGCTAGGGGGCGGGGCTCGTCCGTCCCGGCTGTCGGTACTGAGTGGCTTCAGGGCTGCAGGGTCCGGTGGCCCCGCTGCTTCCTCCTTTCACTTCGCGGTTGAATTTAACTCCGTTTTAGAGAAAGTCTTGAGCTCTCTTGTTTACGTTTTCTTCCAACAGCGAAATCCAGACTTGAGCTTGTCTTGTGAAATAGAGATTAGGTTGCCGTGAAAACGCTACCTCTGTCCGCCCCTATCCGGGGCGCCCTTTTTAGTTTTACTTGGAGGCTCACTTTTCCCCCAGCTAGACACTATTTTTAAAAATCCCTTCATTTTTTTTTAGCTTTTATTTTTTTAATAAGCAAGGTATTTCAAGTTAAAATGTTCAAAAATATGTCACCACTGTGAGGACAGTAGATGGTGATTCAGAGCAAAAGTTTGAGTCCCTTCGCTTGCAGGTGCTGCAAAATGAACACCTACGGTAGACACTACTGAACAGACACAAAGCATCTAAAAAAGGAATTTGTACCTCTTGTTGCTTGTTAAGGAAGTTTAACGTTCCTCTGATTTAGTTTCTTCTAGTGTTACCCTACAACGTTAACTCATGCCAAAGTATAACCTCAACGTTATTCTGTAACATGGGATAGTGATTTTGACCTACTAGACAACCTAAATATATGTGCTGTGCATGGACCATGATTTTCCAAATTCTTGAAATTACACCCTAAATGCTAACAAATTCTTAGCATGATAACAAAGATTTTATTAAGCTTCTTCTCATGGACATAAACAGTTTGGTTCAAGTATTGATCTCTTCCACATATTTTACAACATTCCTTGTTCCCTTCACTGAAATAAGAACACAATGCTATAAATAAATAGACATTCACCCTGGAACTGGAGAAAACAAGCTTTATTATAATGATTGGAGATTTTGTGCATGATAAAGATATACACATGAATCTTGTTTCTCCTATGTTTCAAGACAGAATTAATTTAAAGTTTTATTGTAGACTAAAGCATCCAAAATACTGTGGTACGTATGTAACTATGAACGTACAAACACTTGGATACACAGCGCTTGCTTTTTTCTTTAAATAGGCAGTCAGCATTTTAATTCATAAAAGAACAAACCATGAGAAAGTATCAATGTCAGGGCAAGACTAAGTGTTCTATACACGGGAAGCGTAGGAAACAGATTTATAAAGATGGAATGTACAAAAATTGAAAAAGAAAAGGGAGCAAAAAACTTTCATAATCATACATTGGATTGAAAAGCTACAGAATTGAGGATGATGAAAAGTGTTCTGTGATAAGAATACACTCTGTGGATGACAGGACATTCCCATGTCATAAAGCAAAAGCACTGAGTTTAAGGCTGTGTTGCTTTCCAAAGTTAATGGAAGTGCTGTACATTCACTGGAACAACATAGCCAACGAACCTATTTTAGACTATTAATAGCTTTCATACATTCTCCACAAACAGACCACACAATCACTGCCACACAATTCATCTTCAGAAAAATTTTTTAAAGATTAACATCATGATTTGTAGCTTACTGTCATTTAAAACAAACAAAAAAAATCATTTATTTATACCAAACAAATCTTTAATGGGCACTTAGTTTCCTTTATGGCAATTCTAGATTCCTAGTTATCAAAAATATGAAAATAATTGTAAAGTTCAAAACCCTGCAACATTTACAGAATGCAACAGTATTAGGACTTTCAGTTGTAAGCAACAGCTTCAATTTCATCCTTCCTGGAAAGGTCTTGATTTTACATGATTAAACTACAAATATTCCTCCCTTTTCAGACGCTGGTGAATAGAGAGGTTACTACAGAGTCCAAACGTACAAAAGGATTTTTCCCATTTGAAGTCATCTGCAGATTACCTGCTATTTGCAATTTCTTCCAGTTGCACTCAGTCGGCATTACCGACGGTTACCTTCACATAAGGATCCATATGCTCGTGCACAACTATTCCAGTTAACTCCACAACAGGACATACCCTGTATACTTAGCAGAAGCAAGTGTGTTCCAGTTGCATGAACCTGTGACATTTACTTGTCTCAACTCTAGTCAGAGCAAATTAAAATAAGGAAACTTGACTTGTTTAATTACTGGAGACTCAAGTTAGAGCAAGACACTAAGTACCATTAAAAACAAAGGAGGAACAGTCATAAAGGCTTTTTATTCATGTGGTTCTGGACGGGCCAGTGACTTGCCGCCTCCCGTGTCCAGCAGGGGAGGGCTCCATGGGAGGTAATGTTCAGTCACGGACCTTCACGTACCAACTGGCAATATTTTGCCGTAAGTGCCCAGGGGAAATTTGAATGAGTCATTTTTCAGTGCTACTTATCATGAAGGTATGACAGGTTCTGTACAATTAACAAAGAGAAATAAACAATAATGGTAGCCCAGAAAAAAAGTCACTTATTTTAATATCCTTCTCAGTTTACCAGAAACCATTTTCCATAGAATGTGACAAAATTTCATTTAAATCTTGTCTATTCCTCTCTTATCAGCAGCACTTTCTTCCCTAAAATATGCTTACTAAGAATATAGTAAATGCACATTTGTATTTAAGTGTGTAATGTTATCTATACTTCAATATAGATGATCATATATTTTGGGGGGAAAATGGCATTTTCTGGGGTGCCCATAGCAAGTGTTTCAGATAGTAGAACAGGTCTGAATCAAAATATTTATTCTTTTACTCCGGTTTGAGCCAATTTGACATGTAAAATTTTTACTTTGTACTCAATCTACTGTTAAGTTATCCAACCTAATATGGGCTGGCTGATGAAGTTTTTTCAACTCACAAATATCATTTAAATGTTGCACAAAAACACCTTTTAAGGAAACTATGTCTTAAGATCAATAGCTTATAAAGGGATCCAAATAGGGAAGCATTTTTACTTGTGAAAATAAACTAAAATGAATTTAACCACTTAAAAAGTTTCTCTTAAACGGTTTCCAGACTGTTATCTTTTACGCAGAGTGTTAATAAACAGTGGAATGAAATTCCCTCCCTGGGATGTGAACTCCAAGGGGTTGGGGTTCTCGTCTTCACTGTAGCCCTGGAGTCTGGCATAATTCAGGAGACCTTGTGATCATGCATCAAATATGAACGTGTAAATTCAAAGACGTTTCACCGATGTTAGGAAAGTGTCTTAGTTTAATAGTCTAAAAATGTTATTGAATTTTCTAATTTTATCACAGACAGGCTCAAGTATTTTGAAAACGCTATCTAACTTAAAAAAATACTAAATCTAAAGGTAAATCTCCCTGAAAAATATTCTTCCAGAGGTTGATTTGGGCATAATAAATTTGACAGATAACTAGAAGTAGCTGGATTTCCTTCGAAATGTTAAAAAGTCCTATAGAAGAGTGTGATTGCGTTATAAATTAATAAGCAGTAAACATCACATTCATATAATTACACATAAGGGAAATGTTTTCTTATGGTACAGTGCTAAGGTGCTTTCAGTGAAAAAGATCCCAAAGTCATTATCGAAAATGCCAAGCTTGGCATCCTATTTGGTAGAACTGAGTAGAAAGTTCAACTGTGGAAAGAGACCACAACTAATTTTACAGTATCATGACAGGTTGACTAAATTATCCTTAGCATTTCTTAAAACACATTTGTACTTAGGTTTGATTTCCTTGGAACTCAAATTCAGCTTTTCTTTTGACCTGTTTTGTTTGAAAGCATAGAAGGCCATTTCTGACTCCCGGAAAGTGGCGAACTCGTTTGCTTTAGGGCTGTTCCATAGGGCGCTTGACTGCGCAGTGAAGGGGCTTGCTGAAGAAGGCTGGGCGATGCTGCTTTTCAGAGTGCTGCCTATTTCAATACACCGAAGGTTCAGCTGTATATATATATCTATATATATATATATGCCTATATATATGAAACATCCTACCTTACCCTAATCATGTGTACATAGTCCTTTAATGCCTCTACTATTCATTAGACAATGATAAATAACCATAACATGCCCTTACCTGTAAGGTTTTTGAGTTAACACAACTTTGGTAACACTTGCTTTCTAAGGGAAAACCATTCATCAATCGCATGCCTTTGGCTGACACCACAGTCCTCCCAAGGGCTCCTTATGGCTCTCTGTCCTAGGATACTGGTGTCCCACTACGCGTGCTGACATTTGCAGGAGGTAAAGCTTTCGCTTTCATGACGTGGAAGAAGGGAGACACGTGAGAACATGGCACAAAAAAAAACATCACTCATTCTTTTCTTGATTACATTCCAGTGCATGAATCTGGAGTGAACGGCTGTCTGCCAAAAGGTAGCATTGCTATTGGATATGCTTTGCAAAGCATTGGTTATTTCAGGTTTCCCTGAAAATGTATTTTTTTTTTTGATATAATGAGAGCAGGCAAGAGGAATGGAGCCAAAGGATCTGTGATCGAATCCAGGAAAGGTGGGAAATTTGCATTGATAGTTAAGTGCTAAACTCACAGACCTGCTAATCAGACTTGCATGACAGTCTTTATTTTTTTTTTTCCCTAAAGTCACTTCTATGTCATTGTTGATAACCAAAAAAGGTGACCAGAGGTTAAAAGTTTCCCCAGGTCTTGAGACTGAGGTTAAATAAAGTATATAACTACAACAGATTTTGTTTTCGTTTTGTTTTAATTTTGGAAGCTCTGTGCAAAAGCTATCATTCACAGGATTAATGAATAACCTTTAAGTATTCTAGATTTTTTTAAATGCTTGTTTGATTTGCAAAATTAGTTCAACTACATCAATCCCTGTCCTACAGGCCATAGTTCACAGGAGTAAAACTTTGCATTTTCTGTAGATTCAGTAGAAGAAATTTCCTTTTCTTAAACCCTAAAGATGAATTACAGAAATCAGATAAGCAGTTTTTAAGGAAACTGTTACATTCAGAAACAACCTTGGAAAGTTCACCAATGATTCCATCTAGCATGAAAAGTCTAGTATAATCTGGTCCCGCGCCGAGAAATTCATTCCAGTTTATAGTGCAAGACCTTGGTAAAAGGGGCGTCCAGTGGCCAACGGTCAAGGTCACTGCAAGTACCGGTAGACCTTGAAGCAGTGGTTTCCAGAGTCTGCCACCACTACGTGGCCGTCTGAAGTCAGGGCCAGGCCTTGGGGGCCGTAGAGTGGGTCAGCAGATGTATTAATATAGGACAAAAACGATCCGCTTCCATCAAAAACCTGCCGAAAATATAGTCAGAGGGTTATACAGGAAAAGTCTGGTAATATGATGAAATAAAAGTGAGAAAGCCCTTGATATGAATGTTTTTTATATAAAACACGTGTATACCCACGAGGTTTGTTTAGGGCACTGGTTTCTATACTTCCTCTCCCTGCTTCTTGTTCTTTTTCTTCTCTTTCTCTTCATGCCCCAGAGTCACTGACACCTGCATGCCTTTGGCCAGTGGGCATATTTGATGGGAATGGTTTGATAGTGCTTGAGAAATTTCTCACTCAAAGCCTTCATTTTCCCCTGCGGGCTTCACTTCTCTCTTGCTATCTCCAATCTTTAGCAAGAGAATGAGCAACTAGACCATCCATAGTAGAACCATCCTAAGTTATCATGAGCAATGAGAAAACAAATTATTATTTTTTTGTTTTTTTAGAAAAGAGCTACAGGGTGCTCCCTGGTGGCACAGTTTCAGTGCTGGTTAAAAGTTTCAGCACTATGAAACTATCTGCAAACCAGGAGATTGAGCCAGCCAGGAGCTCAATCTCCTGGTTTGCCCGCTGTTCCCCTCAGCAGTGTATGTCAGAACATTTGCCTGTTCTGCTCCCCACTCTGTCTCTGGTGAATCCTCTCACCCTCAGCATTTCTTGCCTACACCCCAGTTCTTGTATGCATAAATAAATAAAAACTTTAAGAAAAAAGAAAAGACCTATAAGAAGTCACTGGGGCAACACACACAAGAATGAGTGGCCCTCTTCTGGCCTGGAAACTTCTGCTGTGATAAAACAAAAAAACACTTCTTTTCAAGCCCAAGCTGCTTCCTCCAGACCGTTTGTTTGCCCTGTGGAGTGCTTTAAAAGGCAGCGGTAGCTAACAGCACAAACAGCGTGGCACCTGCGGTCCCACACAGAAATGTTTGTGGACTTGGCTCCATCTGGCTTCTGACTCCTGCTGGATACAGAATGCCTCTTTCAATGTAGCTGCCCACTGGGGTAATTAAGCCAGATAAATATATTGGAGCAATAAAAGCATTTAGTGTGGTCTCGCTTCTTTATCTGAGACATAGGTACACGCATTGGGTCCACGCTGCTGACAGCTGTCCTTACAGGGACCCCTGAAAGCTTTAGCCAGCACTGTGGGTGCTCGGGCGCAAGGCACAGCCACAGCAGCAGGGATGAAGATCCTGCTGTTAATACGTGCTTAGATCCATGCAGGTGTCTGCACAGACAAATGAGAAAATGAGTCTTCCTTCCGCTGGAGGATGTAAAAGTTTTGTTCTTGATATACATAAAAATTAAACTTTTTGTGCTATGGGCCCCTTTGCAAAGAGTATAAGCCCCCACCTCAAAATAGTGTTTCAATGTGTTTTTTCCCCCAGAATGCAAACATTTTTATCATTTCTAAATATGCGATCAAAACATCAAATGCCATTCACAGTATCATTGTTCCTAAACCACAGAAATGTATCCAAATACATTCTTCTTCTTTCAGATTTGTTTTTGGTAACTTCTAATTTTGAAATAATAGCAGAGTCATGAGAAGTTGCCATGACAGTGCAGAAAAATCCTGTGATCCCTCGCCCGGTTCCCCCACCGGCTCCCTCTCGTAAAGTCGACACCGGGATGTGTAGGTGGAATTGGAAGTCGTCTTATTAAAGGTGTAGATTCCTGTAACTGCCATCACAATCAACATCAAAACCTGTCACTCAGGTCTTCCTGGCGGCCGCTGGACGGTCACGTCCACTGTCCAACCCCAGTTGCTTCCACTGTCCCTAAATGACTTGTTTTCTTTCTCAGTGATTGTGTTTTGCGAGTGGTACACGCTTGCGCTCAAATGTTGTGCCGTCTTTTCGAGGTGCCTCTTTCCACTCAGCGTGAGTGATCAATCCAAGATGGCCTGTTCCTTTTTAATCCCACAGTGTGGGCATAACCATAATATGACAATGTCTGTGACTTCTCTGGGTGGCCACATTACAGTTATTACTGGGGCCATGGTGATCGCTCCTTGCACTCACAATGAGAGGTGGTAAAGTTCTTTAGTTAGAAGTTACTAAAAATAATGGTGTAATGTATCTGTTGTCTTGAGTTCAGCCCTGAGCCCTTTGGTGGTCTGTGGGTTCATGTGAACACCCGCTAACGTTGGGGTGTGGTCTGGTAACATGGTGGCGCTTTCCCTCCTCCGTCTTCCTTAATTGGGACATCTGGTGACATCATCTACAGCCTTATGACCTAACCCATGAAAGGCAAGCAGGCCCATTTGGAAGACAGTTGCTTCCCTGCTGCTAACAAATGCCCATCCTGTAACACACACATGAGCGTGTCTGTCTACCTGGATCCTGCTGTTGCCCCAGTCGGCCACGATGATGTTACCATTGGAGTCCACAGCCACACCTGTCGGGGCATTGAACTGACCATTTCCTTCTCCGTTGGAGCCAAACTTCAACATGAATTCTCCTTCCTGATTAAACACCTGCATGGAATATTTTTGAATGACTGTAAATTAAAATAGTTGAACCAACACTATGGAGTTTAAAAACAGCTATCCGAGCAGCTTATGTATAGCACTACCTATGTTTTAACATTAAAAAAAAAAAAAAAAACAGAAAACAATCTCAAGTTTGACCCTCCTGCCGTGGGACTCTGCAGAGACAAGAGAGCACAGCCGGAAGCACCCCTCTGCCTCCTTCTGCACCCCCACCACTGTACTGCATTATGCTCAGGGACTGGGACCCAGGATAAAAGCACAAGGTCTCCCCTTTTAATCAGGCTATCGGTATTGCCCAGGAAACAGAAAAGAGAGCGCCTCTGGGTATTAAAATCTCATCCCTCCTCCCTTCCAGGGGTTACCACTGATAAACTGATTTGGTTTGTTCATGGCTGACCCTGTGGAAACTTGAGGTACTGACTTACTACCTGCGTTGCTACCTAACTAGCTTTTCTTTAAAATGCATCATTTAAAAAAATTTACATGAACTTACAAGGAAAGCTGTATCACTTCTATACATGCAAGCTATTATCATTTGATGAAAGAGAAGGCAAATCTAAAATTAAATAAAGAGCTCTTAAAACAAGGGAATGGGGGGAGGTGGGCTAGGTTGGGGCAGCGGGATCGATTTTGCATGCATGGTCCAGGGTACACTCGAGTTGGAGGCTAATGTGAGTAGTTCACACGCTGACGCTGATGGAAAGTGCTGCCACCTGACATGTATGTAATGGCATACAGCAATGTAACTTCAATAAAATCTTAAAAAATAAATTAAAAGAGGAATTAAACACATTTCAAGGATTCTCTGTCCCAAACCGCAAAACAAATTATTTTTATGGTTCCAAACAAGGATTATTGCTAGAGGTGATTCTGAATTCTTGATGAAAATGAAATAAAGTACACCACTGCTTAAAAAAAAGCCCTGGCCCAGGGCTGCTGTCTTTCCTGTAGCTGAACACACGACACTCGCCCTGGCCTGGCACAGACACCTTCTGGTTTCAATATGTGAGGTGTCTGCCTTGAACTACTTATTATTTTCAAATTTGTTCATAATAAAGTTCAACTCTTACTTCCCACTCTTCTCACTTGGAAAGATGTAAGGAGGGGCGGGCGGGGAGCTGCATTGTGTCTTAAGTAACACCAAGTGGGTGAAAGCCCCCAAGAATGTACACTGGAGTGAACCTCCTACCCACTCCCTATCCGTATTGCAGCAGAACATTAATTTTTCAGTTTATTTGGAAGGTTTTATGATGCAGAAAATGGACGAAGTGCTCTGATCAGTTTAGTGAATAGACACACAGAATATTAACCTCCAGAAAGGTCTGCATCTCTCAGCTCAAGCAACTGCTTTCTCGGGCTGACTTTTTCAGGTCATCTCTAGTTACAGCCATTTCAAATTTAAAAACTTATAGTCCTATTTTGTTGAATCCTCTTACTCTCCAAATTAACGCGCACACACATTTATTTCAGACTTTTAAAAGGACAGGTCTTTTAGGAAGAGAAGAAAGAAAAAGAGGCACCTGCATAGTCAGTCACAGTCACAGGCGCGGCCACCCCGTTAGAGCCCCATGTCTAAGGAGAAGCCAGACCTAGTCTCTGAGCTGCATTCCTGTAGTATGTTATTTTTCCCCAGACCGATTTCTCAGTCAATACATGTAGAAGTTAACAACAATGTGTTTCTAGTACCTTGACAGAATGATTGTGGAAATCCGTAACGATAATCTCATTATTGCTATTTACAGCTGCAAAGTGAGGACCTGCAATAAAGACGGAATTAATGAAGTGGTGAGCACAGCGCATCAAGTAACAGCAGAGCACAGCAGTTACTGCGAGATGTAGCACATTAACTTCATCCCTTCGGCGAGAACAAGGCATCGGAGACTCATCCTGGAAAGACCACCAGCCAGACCTCTGGCTGCTGGTGACCAGGCTTCCCAACCGCTCTACGCCCGTGGCTGTCTACACTGACTCCCTCCAGCTCCAGCTAAGCACGCCGCCAGCCTGGGAGCGATGATGGCAGGTGTCATTCCCACACCGCCACCTGCAAGCCCCATCTGCCAGTTCCCTGAGTACGTGCGGTCATTTCAGAATCCTCAGCGTCCACTGAGAAAAAAAAAAAAAAAAAAAAAACAGTGACTCTACACTGGGAAGATGACTCTGCTAGGTCGAGTTTTTTAAAAAATCAAGCAGAGAACCCACACTTTATCATCTGGGCTGCTGTTCAAGGAACTGGCAGCACTGGAGACAAAGCATAAAGATCACGCAATGAATAGCTACTGGCCAAAGCATCCTTTCAAAAAGAGAATTTAATCAAAAGTTTATTAGATAAAAATTGAACAAATTCAGCCTCCTCTTGCAGATGTGAAAATCTACGGAAGCTTGCAATGGCAAAGTGGTGTACCGGAACAGAGAAGGGAGCCTCTCCTTCCTGTACACAGCAAAAATGTTGAAATCTTATTCATTTATAATTACCTCGGAAGGTAAAAAACGTCTCGTTCAGAAGCTCCATAAAGCTGCGGCTGGGAAACAAGCGTTTCTCCGCTGAATATTTTGTATTTTGAAAATAATTTATTTTAAAAATTTCTATTTTACTTCATATTTTAATGTGAGGCTTCTGGATTATAAACCACCACTAACAAAGCGCACGCCCGGAATGCAGATCTGCCCACTGCAGCGGAGAACTGAGATGCACTCGCTGTGCCGTGGCTGAGATTTCACCCCCAGAAGCTTCCCCCAAGCCAGCAAGCACACTGGGAGTGAGGAGCCTCTAACATGCGCCGACGTCATGCAAGTCTGAGCAGAAGAAACATGAAAAGGGGGTTTACATATTACCATCGAGTGTACCTGCAAACTGCCTGTCCCCATTGCCTCGGCTACCAAACCTGGTGACTATTTTCCCATTGGGCTGGAAGATAAACACGCAGCACGCTTTGTTATCCACCACGATGATGTGGCCGTTGCGGTCCACAGAGACGCCTTTGGGCCCCATCAGCTTTCCTGATCCAATTTTTGTCTGTTAGAAACAAGCACAGAAAAGAAGTTTAAAGCACTACAGAACCCACATGCACCTGCCTTAGTAAACAGACCTGAATGTACAAATAGGGGGGTGTTGCTATTCCTGTCACAACAACCTTTGTCTTAGAAAAGTGTCTTTGCCACCTCCATTATTTGTGAGATTTACAGGAAACCCTTGTTTTTTTAAAGGATCCTTACCAAAAATGTTCTAGAATCCCCTTAACTGGGGATTGTCTTTGAAGGAGGCAATGTACACAAAATACCCCTGGGTTAGGCATAGGAAGACTCTGCTTTGATGCCGTGGCATAATGCAAATGTGTTTGGTTCTTTCTTTTTTTTTTTTTAGATTTATTTTATGCACAAAAAACTGGACTACAGGCCAGAGGTGCTGGGGGTTAGAGGACTCACCAGAGACAGAGCAGGAAGCAGAACAGGTGGATCAACTGAAATACACTGCTGAGGGGAAAAGCGGGTGGGTCAGGAGAAGTCTGCCATAAGGGTCAGTGGCCTGGTTGGGGATTGAGCTCGTGCTGGGGTAACTTTGGTGAGCTCCACAGTGCTGTGCTCTAAACCGTTGCGCCACCTGGGAGAGCCCTGGATTTGATTTCTTTAAGCTGAAGATTCCTTACATAGTAATCTTAGTTAATAGTTCCCAACTCACTTTAGGATCATGAATGCAGTGAAACAATACAGGTAAGTGTTTAGAGAATAGCACGTATACAGCAGTCATTAAAGGGAATTATCATTGTCATTATTGCGTGTCTTACTTAACACTGAAATTGTCAGGAGTCTGCCACTGAATGTCATTAGAATTAAATTCACTAGGCAGGAGTCTATTTTATCCAGTGCTTTTTGCTCAATCTCAGACGCTTCTAACAAGCGCTTAACAAGTACCCAACAAATATTTGCTGAATAAACATTTTTAAAATCCAGCATTGTTATAAAGTAATCACGGTAATTAAATGGTCCCAGTTTCCAGTATTTTAAAATGGGAGCAAAGCATCTGATTTCTATCAAGCACATACCATATGCATTTAAAATCTTACTCATTTTTCTGAGTGCATTACAGTGTGCATATAAAGGTCTGTTTGCCATAAGATGGAAGTCTTATATATTTACCCTTATAGCACCACAATCTACTCCTCTTTTACCATATTCACCAGATAAATCTGCTGTGTAGGATTATCTTCTATCCCACAAAGCAATAGATGTGTGCAGAGAGTCTGGAGAGAGAGATGGGACCTTTCCCACAGTGGGGGTTCAGGTTTTATATGCTTGTTAATTCATAAATAACTGAGGTTCAGACTTGGTCTCCTTAGACAAAGGGGCGCATTTATTCAGGAAGAAAACAATAGCATTCTTCAGGGAATCTGTTGCATAAATTTGATTCTGGTTCTTCCATGTAGCCCAGAAAGCAGAGAGACTAGAACATACTGGCTTGTAAAGGAACTATACTTTTTCACAGGTTTGAATGGAAGATATGCCAGTACAGATGAAAAGGAAGGAAGTACATGTTCTGGCTGATGATTATTAATGCCTCACAATGAAAGAACACTGATTGTTATACAGATTGACTCAGCAATATAATATCAAGCAGCTGATAATTGTGTAGAACACAACAGAAATAAATCGCATCGTGAAAAACTGCAGGTCTCAAAGAAAAAGCTTAAATATTGAAACCAAATCATGTTTCCTTCCATTTCATTTCTTCTCTTTCATTAGGCTGCACTGGATTCCATCAAGGAAAATAAAGGTATGAGCTTTGCCCTGACAATGTGTCTCTTAAATCAGTGCAGGAAGCAAAAAGATTAGAGCCTGGCTTGGAGGAGTTAAGCGAAAGTATTCAACTCAGCAAGTAGGGTCTTTGATGGAAGGGGAAGAGATGAGCTATTTTAGAATGAGGGTGGCCAGGGCCTCTCTATTGGTTCTGGGGTCACAGAAGATGGGTTGGAAGATGTACAGAGAAGATGGAAAGATCAGAGACGGCAGAGGGAATGAAAATTAGGGCGAAGTTGGGCCCTCCCTGGTGGCGCAGCAGGTTAAAGCGCAGCACTAAGAATCTAAAGCCACTTCTGCATGAGTTTGATTCACACCTGCCCCGGAGGTGACCACATGGCGTGGCAGACCTCTCTTGACCCGCCCGCTGCTCCCCTCAGCAGTCGATCTGCCTGTTCTGCTCCCCACTCTGTCCCTGGTGAATCCTCTCACCCTCCGCATCTCTGGCCTGTACCCCAGTTCTGTACAAAAAAATAAAAAAAAAAAAAAAAGGAAAAAAAAATTAGGGCGAAGAAGCTAGTGAGTAAAAGAAAAATGAGGTATGATGTTGTATTTCTGGTACTATTACCAACAAATATGCAAAAAGCAGCCTAGTTGATAAAAGTTTATGTTTCTGAGTATCTGTTTAACCTTTCTGAATTGCACCACAGTAGAAAGTAGTAAGCACGTCTCAGGGTGTGGTCAGGAACATCACATTTGGATGAGTTCCTGTTACATATTAGTGTTTTTATTTGCAACCTTTTACTTTTGGGTTTTTATCAACATCTGCCTTAACAGGGGCAGGGGGTGCTGAAACTATAACATCTCCATGCCTCCACCCCCCAGCCCTCTAGGGAGACCGAGTGTTCTCTAGGGCTTATTCAAGTCTTAGCAGTAATATTCCAACTGTGAGAATTCAGTTCTCCTAAGAAAGTGCCATTACACTTTTCTGAACTACAAGATGAAAATACTGAACTACAAGATGAAAAAGGCTTAATTTAGGGACCCCACCTCTTCCAGATATAAACTCCTGTTTCAGGATGTTTTATTATATTAGCTAGAAATATTTCAATATATTAGACATAAGATGTTCCATTATCCTTAACATTAAATCACTCTTTCAATATCTATTTGAAGAGTGATTCCTGCATTTCAAAAGGCAGGTTATGGAAGAAACGGAACTGTCCCCAGAGAAGATGAATAATTTTAAGAGGCGACTCAATAATTGGCATCCGATTCGTGTGAAAGCTGTCACGTTTAGGCATGCCTCCCCATAAACACAGTCACGAAAAGCACAAAGAAGGGGAGGAAGTTGAAGGACAAGCGACCTTGTGTGCGTGTGCGTGTGCGTGACCATCTTGTGGAATCATAGCATTTCAGTGGCCCAGGATATCTAGGTAACCGGGGAATTGTTTAATTCCCCTGGGTTGAAAAGATGGTGCTCCACTTCGAACAGGCCCTGTTCTAGATTAATGTCATGTCCTCCACGTGTTTCACAAAAACAAGGTGACGCAATGATGCAGAAAATTTAAAAGGAAGATAAAAAATCCTCAAACAAACAAACAAACAAACAAAAAGAGAGACTAAACTGAGTGAAAACTGCGTATTCTTCCGGATTCCAGAATGGAATCTAAAAAGCATGCTCCCTGAACATCTGGATGAGGAAAAGAGGACCCCAGGCCACTGCACAGTCTTGAGGGCCAACCCAAAGCCACTCAGATGACCGCATTTGGGGGCAGGGTTTTGAGAAGCACTGGGACAGAGCTTTTCTTAGATTTCAAAAGCAACGCATACAAAGTCCAAACATAAAACCCTTACCCAAAGCCTATGAAATAGATTTTTAAAAATCCGTATTTGAAATACGAAGCTATGGCAGCTCAAGGAAGTTACATGCTTGGTCAAAGGCCAAGCAATTAAGTCTGAGAGCTGGATTCCAATGGGGATGATCTAGCCAAGCTGAAGTTCATGTTGTCACCTGCACCAGAAGCCTCTGGAAGGGGGGCGCGGCCCTCGCAAGGCAGTGTGTGAAGTGCTCAAAAACTGCTGATAAAAGGCTTCACATCTTCTTTGAATAAATGTAGGAAATGGGTTGGATGATAATACTATTTGATGACACCTCAGAAGAGATTTCTGTTATCACCAGAGGACTCCCTACTCTTTGGTGTCTGGTTAAAGAAACAGGTGTGGCTGGGAGTGACAGCAAGTATGTTAAGTGATGAGGTTCCGGGCCAGCAAATTAGCTCAGCCCCCACTTTCTCCTCCTTCCAATTCCTATACTGCATGCTTTAACTGTCTAGATTGTACCAAACAATGTACAGCTGATATGAGCTGTTTCCTGTCATTTCTCATGTTAGTCTTTCTTCCTCAAAGGGCTTGTTGTACATGTTGACATCTTAGATTTCTGTTTCTCTCACATCATCAAGCACAAGCCTGAGGAAGCAGAAGACACTTCATAAACAACAATCTGCAGATTAATTTGGAAACACACCTTGCCTCTTAAACCCTTTTCTGCAGGTGACCATTTGTCATTCAGCTAAGGTAACAGGAAGTGTCTCTCTAAATCTGATGGCATTTTTTTTTAAAAGGTGCCCCACAACCTGATTTCTTTATAAAATGAAGTCACATTTAAGTAGGCATATGACAATATCATTGTTACTCTCTCTTCATAAAACTCAGTAACAAAGTCACCTTATCTTTGCACATAAACAACAGTTGCATATTTAATTGCCTCTCAAGAAAAGACAAAATAAAACAGCTTCCTCTTGTGTTTCCTATCCCTTCTTGCTACTGTTTACTGGTCGTTACTCTTACCTTAAACTTCCCATCCGAAGAGAAAATGCTAACCCACTTATTATCATAATCTGCAATGATTATGTCCCCGCTGGGGTGCACAGCCACGCCTGTGGGTCGCTGCAGCTGCCCGGGGGAGCGCCCCCGAATGCCAAAGCGGCTTTTGAACTGTCCATCATTGGAGAATATCTGTAAAACAAATCACATTCCTTGGATGTGAACTAGCACAGCTATGAGTGAAGAAGAAGCTGTCAGAAGACTGGGCTTATGGAAGACAGGATGGGAGATTCAGGCGGGGGGCCCGAGGTCTACGGGCCACACGCCTCCCTTTCTGTCCACGAAGGGCAAGTCTAGGTCGGGAAAGATGCAACTGTATATATCTCCTCAATTTTTGAGGGTTCAGGGGTCCCCTGGGGGGCAATACCTGCACACATTGGTTATTACTGTCTGCAATGAGAATCTTCCCGCTAGTAGATGCAGCGACTCCTTGAAGATTTGTAAATTCTCCTTTATTTCTTCCTTTGGTCCCTAAAAACAAAGTATAAAAGCGCAGAAATTAAGTAACAGAAGATTAGACTTCTAAGTGTCTGCAAGAGAATGATTCAGACTTCTGCAGGCAAACTTGAGAGTGCACTGTTTTGTTTTGTTTTTGTATGCCTGTGACCTTTTTATTTTATTTTATAACAGTTTATTTTTACATCATTTTGTACATTTTTTTTCAATCTTAATTGTAATCCCCATGGGTTTCCCATCACCAAGTCACCCGTGTGCCATCACCATAATCCCGCGCACTTCCCTCC